CACTGAGGGCTCCCAGACTGTGAGAGGGGGCAGGCTCGGCTGAGAGACCCCCAACCCCCAGTGCACAAATTTCATGCACCCGGCCTCTAGTAATAAATAAAATAATTGCTCCCTTTGATTCAGCAAGCCCAGGTTTGGAAATTTATTCTACAGAAACAGAAGTGCCAATGTATTTGAGAACATCTATCACCATGTTGTTATAGAATCAAAAACAGAAACAACGAGCCCTGGCCAGAGTGACTTGGTTGGTTGTAGCATCGTCCTGTACACCAAAGGGTGTCAGGTTCGATTCCAGGCCAGGGCATATACACACCTAGGTTGCAGGTCAAGGCACATATGGGAGGCAATGGATCATTGTTTCTTTCTCCCATTGATCTTTCTCTCTCTCCCTTCTTCTCTTTTCTTCTCTCTAAAATTAATGAAAACATGTCCTTGTGTGAGGATTGAAAGAAAAAAAAAAAACACAGAAACAACTTAAAGTTTCTCTCATCAGGGGGATGGATCAGTACATTATCAAGAACTATTGCACAGCCATTAAAAAGGTACACTCTATGCATATACTTCAACTTGGAAGGATGTTTCTGCTGTATGTCTAAATGAAAACAAAATGTAAATTACCATTTAAACTGTTATGCAATGACATGAGATAGATGGACAGATGGGTAGATATTCATGGATGGATGGGCAGGTAGATTTTCTACATATGTACTTCCATGTATGAACACATTCATCTGTTGCTATTTGCTGGGCATGAAAGTCTTTGGGGGGAAATTTGACATATTTATGAATTATTTAACTTGTAAAAATATGTTTTACTTTTATTCTTTAAAAATTAAAAAAAGGATTAAAATAAATGCAAGATTCAATTTTCTTTGAAATGAACCCAAAAAATAGGTTGGCTTGAGCATTAGAGAAGGAGCCCAAGAGACAAAAGTATGATAAAGAAAGAGTAATAACACATCAATGGTAGAATCTAGGTAGACAGCACATGGATATTTGCTGTATCACTTGACAATGTCCACAATGACCTTTGAGGGAAAAACTAAAGAGATATAACATGAGGTAGATAAATAGATGATAGATGATAGATAGATAGATAGATAGATAGATAGATAGATAGATAGATATAGATGTGAGTGGGTGGATAAATAGCCAGACAGATAAGGCCTCTGACCACTGCAAAAGTGAATTCATGATGTAACAAGTGACTTGCTTCTTCCTGGGTTGCCCAGGGTCAGGCATGCTTTTTTTGACCATCCCAAGAGCACACCTTCTGAGCCATTTAATCTTTTGCTGTGGTCAGTGTGGGATGCACTCTGGAGTGAACCCCAAGTCTGGGCATTTCCCAAGTGTACAGACTCTAGATATACATAGGTCTGTGGAAGGTTTGGGGCCTCAGAAGTACCTGGTATTCCATGGTTCTAAGGGCAACCTCTGCCTCTTGGGGCATCTCTCCCCAACTTCACAGAGGAGCTCTGGTCACAGGCTGCCACGCACCAACTCCTACTGAGTTCTCAGATTCTCCAGGCTACCTGTGAACGCTGTTGCAGCAGTGCTGTGAGGTTCTCCTTCAGAAAGCCAAGGCACAGGGCACTCATGTCACCTAATCTAAGTCTCTACTCTAGAGGGCATAGGCTTTGGAGGCATTCCTAAGCTCACACTCTTGACACTTCTGCCCATGTGGTTGTCTGTACAAGCGAAGGGAGACCGAGGATTCCGACTTCATCCCAATTCCAAAGTCAATACCCAAGATTACACGGAAGTCCCTGTAGTCCCTGGGCCATGCCAGGTAGGGCTGAGTGGGGAGATGCATAGCATCTCCTGCTTTCATTCTGAGACTTGCACCCAACATGCTCTCCTCAGCGCTAGATACCCTTCGCACCTGGAGAGCATAGAGAACTCTAGACACAGAATTTCCTCCCAATGAGCTCAGGCCACACCCCAGGAGGGCAGGTTGCCTCCTCCTGCAGGCTCTCTCTAACTCAGTCACCCCAGAGACTCACAACAAAACTCCAGTTTCTCCTCCGTGAGGCTCTGGGCCATACACCTAAATCCAGGTGCAGCAACGCTCCAGGCACCCCAGGTTGAGCCTGCATTTTAATAAGAGTCCAGGGGAAGCACTTTCCCCAGAAAGAGGCTTCTTCCAGTTCTTCGCCCCCACCCTTCCTGGTCCAGAGGCTGTGCCTGGGCTCAGGCAATGTGGAAATGTGTCCTCAGAAGACCAGAATGCATGCTCAGAGCTGGGATTCCCCAAGTGGAGGGGGAGCGGGAGGACCAGTCTTCCCAGCTGGGACTCAGGAGGCCTTACTATTATTATAAATAAGGCTCACTTCATTGGCTGCAAATGGTGGAGTGGTGTGACCATATGTCACTTGGGCATTAAACAAATCCTAATGAGCTAAAAATATGTTTCTTTTAGCTAATTGACCACTTTGGCCTTCATAAACCGCTGGGTAAACATCCTCAGATAACGGTTTCCAGAGAGTAGATTGTGGCTGTCAAGTGTGCTGAGAAAGCCCGACCCCTCCCCATGGCCGCTTCCTCCGGCTGCCTGCTGAGGCCCACATGCACGCCTGCCTGCTGGCTGCACAACCCACGTGTGTGCTGGAGATAACGGGCCAAGTGACAGGAGTAGAGCCAGGCCACTCCCCCAGTGCTCTGCCTGGCTGTGTGCCCATGCTTTCGGTGGTGGTTGTAACTGAGCCATCGTTGTCTCATCTGTGAAGTGAGGGAAATGCCCACCCCTGGAGGGATGCAGAGAAAAAGCAGGCTTCTCAGTCCTAGACAGGACCCATGTCACTTCCATGTGAAGGAGCAGGAACTGGGAAACTGCCAGTTCAGCAGTGGATCACCTGGGACTGGCTCATGTGCTCCATGCAGGTAGGGAGTGGTCTGGTTACCTGTGGACCCTAGGACCACAGGGATCTAAGTCCTACTCAGGTGAGCAGTGGGCTGGGGCTGAGCTCTCAGCCAACAGGAGAATGGATGCTCCTCAGGCCTCAGAGCTAACTCCCTCTGACCTGGAATCCCTGGTTCTGTGATGTCGGAAGACAGGTCCCCTCCTCACTTACTGAGCCCCACACTGAGGTCCAGACATGCCACTCCTGTCATTTGGAAGCTGTCAGGACCTAGGAATAAGCGTCAAGCTCTGAAGTTGCTGGGGGCCTTGGACTCGGTTTCTGCACTGTGTGAGCTGATGAACCCCAGGCTTTCTCTCCACCCCACCTCCACCTACTTAATTGTTTCTTTAGCTAAAAAACAGGGATAATATCTAACAGGGAGAACATATCAGTAGCTAGGTGCTTCCTTCTTGCTAGATACTGTGAAGCGCTTTACGCCTATTTTCTCACTTAATTACACAATAAGTGAGACGTAAGGCCACAGAGAAGAGCGGCAGAACCAGGCCTCCAGTGAATTCTATCTAGTTCCAGAAGCAATGGAAAATGCTATTTACTTGCAAGTTAATGACTCCACTTGCAGGGAGACTGTCGGCTTATACAGCATGGAGCCTGCATGTGGGAGGAACTCAGAATAAATGGTCATTATTCCCATAATTATGCACTGAAGTGACACAGCAAGATGAGATCCAGCATACCTTCTGGATCGAACCAGCCTTGTGCCAGCCGGGGGCTGAGGAGCTCGAATTAGCTGGGATTAAAGGCAAACTGGAGGTGGAAGCTGAGCCTCAGCTCCACATTCTGTCTGCCGCTGAGAAGGCCAAGGAAGGAAGGCAGCCACACAGGCAGCAGGGGTTAAGGCAGGAGGCAGCTCTGTGCAGGAGGCAGCTCTGTGCAGGAGGCAGCTCTGTGCAGGAGGCAGCTCTGTGCAGGAGCCGGCCCCGCTCTGGGTCCCCATGAGGAGGGGTGGGCTCTGCTTTTGTCCAGCTGCTCTGTGCCCTGGCTGGCCCCACACACCTCTTCCTGCCCAGCCTGGTGCTGTACATGGCCAAGATCCTGCCGGGTAACTACTGCTTCCCGGAGAGCCTGATGGGGATGCAGGGAGCCATCAGCAGGCCATCAAGAGTTGGGAGAGCCTGGGCACCTCAGACACTTGCCCACGTCCTGACGGCGGACAGGAGTGTAGAGCTCCTTGAAGGACCCCCGCCTGGTCACCTCCTATGAGCCCATGGCAAGTCCCAGTACTCACCAACTTCACACAGAGGAACTGCTTGTCTGGCTACAGAGGACATCCGCCATGATGTTCTGGAGGGCGACGTGGGCTCCTGCGGGTGGACGACATCCCGAGCCAGGAGGTGGTGAGCAAGCTCGGGGGCTTCCTGGCGGCCGGCGTCCGGAGGGAGCTCAGGGGCACTGCAGGGGGGGGCCACATTTCTGGCATCCCCTACACCATCTCCTACCTGCACCCAGGAAACCCGGCCCTGCACCTGGACGCCATCTATGACCACCACACCCCCCCCCCCAATACAACCACCGAGATCGGGACCTGCCCCAGGTCCTGGGGGTGGGGGGGAGCAGGTACACTGCCCACAAGGACGTGGTGGTCCTCACCAGCGGCTGCACCGCCCGAGTAGGGAGGACACCGCGCACATCCTCAGCGGCGCGGGGCCATCGTGGTGGGCAAGCAAACCGGGACCTAGGCCTCCTGACCCGGAGGCTAGGGCAGCCCCATTTTCTCCTCGCTGTGCCCGTGTCCTGGCCCCGGGGGCCCTGGGCGGGGGTAGCCCGCTGTGGGAAGGCAGTGGGTGCTGCCTGTGTGGACACGCCAGCTGGGCAGGCCCTAGAGGAGGCCCTGCGGGAAATAGCGCTGGGGACCGCGTGCCGGCCCTGCGACCGCGTGGAGTTCTCCACTGTGGCTCCCAGGAGGGCCGGGTTGCTCAGCGCCGGTCTGCAGGCTGTGTCCCAGGACCCCAGGCTCCGGGTGCGGCCCTGGCCCCACACAC